AATTAATCGGTTCGATCTGAACGACCGATACGGAACCGATATGTGTGATATGTTAAGGATTATTTGGCGGGCAAAAAGGAGCGTGGGGACAGCTAGGAATAGCGAAAAGAGGTTGCCCTATCAAAAAATGCTATTTGCACAAATAAAGCTATACCAACACCAATTTGAATAGGAAAATTATTCAATTATTTGATGTTGCTTTACGGGTAACGGTTTTGGATTCGCAAAATATTGTATTGGACCGATTAGGCCTCGAAAAGTCATCAGTGGCCTAATCGGTCCAATACAATATTTATACAAATTTAAGGAAACAAGTTATCATAATAATAGTTAAAAAACAAAATTACTGTTGTGGGCTGTGCATGGAACCGTGATCGTTGTCGTCCCTTTGTTATCTATTCAACGACACCAGCACAAAGCTCTACCAAAAGCTCTCACTCGCCGGCTAACTGCTCTCCTGACTCGTTTCCACCGTGGCGCCGGAGCTTCCACACAAATTGCATTTTCTTGGCTTTCCTCGGCTGGACCTTCGGGAACGGCCATGACATCGCTTCCCAGGACACGTTTCCACAGTGGCGCCGGAGCTTCCACACAAATTGCATTTTCTTGGCTTTCCTCGGCTGGACCTTCGGGAACGGCCATGACATCGCTTCCCGGGACACGTTTCCACAGTGGCGCCGGAGCTTCCACACAAATTGCATTTTCTTGGCTTTCCTCGGCTGGACCTTCGGGAACGGCCATGACATCGCTTCCCGGACACGTTTCCACAGTGGCGCCGGAGCTTCCACACAAATTGCATTTTCTTGGCTTTCCTCGGCTGGACCTTCGGGAACGGCCATGACATCGCTTCCCAGGACACGTTTCCACAGTGGCGCCGGAGCTTCCACACAAATTGCATTTTCTTGGCTTTCCTCGGCTGACCTTCGGGAACGGCCATGACATCGCTTCCCGGACACGTTTCCACAGTGGCGCCGGAGCTTCCACACAAATTGCATTTTCTTGGCTTTCCTCGGCTGAACCTTCGGGAACGGCCATGACATGGCTTCCCGGGACTCGTTTCCACAGTGGCGCCGGAGCTTCCACACAAATTGCATTTTCTTGGCTTTCCTCGGCTGGACCTTCGAGAACGTAGTGAGGAGGACGATTTTGATAATCATAGTGAAAACAATTACAACGCTCGTTTTAGGAATAATGATAGATAAGAGAGTAAAAATTATAATACTCCACCCCGAGTAGAAAACATAGATAGTTGTGTCATTAATAATAAAAACTATAAAGGGGATAATCCAGTAATCATAGGTGTTTTAGATAATGTAGCACATCATTTTACTGTTGACTCAGGCGCGAGTACTAGCGTTATTAACGAAAATATGCTTCCCAAAAATCATGTAATTAGTTCTTACGGGAAGACAAAATTATATACAGCCAATGGTTCAAAATTATACTTAGTTGGCAGGTCAACTATTAAAGTATATTTTAATAATATTCCTGTAGAAATACAATGCGCGGTCGTACAAAATTTGAATTGCAATAGTCTTCTTGAAGTTGATTTTCTAATTAAATATAAGGGCGTAGTTAACTTTGCTAAGTCAAAAATACAACTTAATGTAAAAAATGAGATAATACACATTGATTTTTAAAAAAAAACATAATAATGGAATTAATATTAATAGGGTTATAGATAATAACAACAATAGTTATTATAGGGCTAATAAGAATGTGAATAATAAAAATAGTAGGATTAGCCAGAATACTAGGATTAATAATGGTAAAAGGAATTTTAAGATTTGTGTGCATAGTAATCATAGCGCTAATAAGAATATTAATTTGGGTAACTTTAATTATTATAAATATTATAGATACCCCCGTGGATTAAATAATAATCATTCTAGGACTGTATTCAATGGGAAAAATAGGACAACCCAAAATTATTATAATGGAACTAGAAATAGGAAGTTTGAATATAATTGTAATAGGTCTATTTTTAGTGCTGTTAACGATCAATCTAGAAAGAGTATTAGCAATAGACAGAGACCCAATTATACTAGCAGACCATTTATCACTAACCAGAAACATAACATAAGGAACTTAGATTATAACCTAGGAACCCAAAATTATGTCTAAACTTTAATTCCTCTGTTTTCCTCTGTCTCTTGATGGAAATAATTCCAAGAGGCAGTATAAGGAAAAGGAAAAATAAATTTCTATTTTTCTTTTGTAAAAGTATAATTTTTTGTTTTTTTTTTGGGGGAATCATACATATAATTATACACCTAGAAAAAAAACACATATTCCTTGACGGCAGACAACTGCCGTTGCAGATTTTATAACTTCAACCTAACCGTTATCCCGTAATTATAACCGTTCGGTTGTAAGGCAATGCCTTTTTTTGTTATTGCGTTGTCAGAAATGAATCATGGACATGTCCGAGTCTTATTTTCTGACAATCCTTGGACACCAATTCCCGACTCGCACTTCACACTATTATTTGAATTTGAGACGATTATAAAATATTATAATACGATTCCTTGACCGTTAGAACAGAAATTATAAAACAACGTATTTAAAACTGATGATCATGATTTTAACGGAGAACAATAATGTAACATGTACAATCACAGACGGTACCCGAGACGATGATATTTATGACACGCAAAACGAAGTCCTATATACACATACACACGCACACACCCGTATGTACCGATGATCGCAAAGTTTTGCTGACGCTGTAATTTTTGGGACAATTTTTATTATAATATTATTATGTTAGAAGGTTTTAATATTATTTTTCATAATAGTAAATAAATAAGTGATTTTTTTCCCCTCAAGACAAAGCAAACCTATATATTATTATCAAAATAAAAAAGAGTAAATATTATCGGTCTGTGTCATGCAATTATGCAAAAGTGTAAACATAATTATCTTTATATTTTGCCCCTTACATATAAATAAGCAATTAGGATCGGCACGCATATGTTCATTTACTATTAGTTAGATGACCTTCTCGCACAAATCATGTTGTCGGAGAAACACACTATTACTCTAATTAAACCTGACAAAATAAAACAGCTGCATTCATAGACCTATTAACATATTGGCGGCAAATAAGAAAGCGCGGATAAAAGTAATCGTGGGTTAGTAGAAAAGGGTAGAAAATACTATTTGAATTACTTAAGTACCTACTTAGGAGTTAGGATAATTTTCCTAGAACAGCCAATTCATTCAACGTATGTGTTTAATAGTTACTTTTTGTATATATACAACGAATACATCAAATCAATCTATGTATATATTTATGACTTGAATGAGTATCTTAAATACTTTTGTCATAAATATAGACGTGGGCCCGTGGTATGAAAGGGTTAAGAAAGGGTCGACAAAATATTTTGAAAAGAGTTCAAAGATGTCAAGAGGTAAGGAACCAGTTTGGCTTAATTTTAAAATGTTGAATTTAGGTTAATACGATAAAGTTTTATTTGGGATAGGTAAATGTTGTTTATTCCTTTTGTTCTATTTCTGAAAGTGACGACGAACACACTTTGAAAGTTTAATTGTCCAACGACCAATTGCCCAACACGTTATGAAATACTATGAACTCTTTTTTTCGTTGTTCGGCGCCACTGGTTACTGTTAAAAACCCAGCTATATTGTTACAGTGCGCATTTTAATAAGCTGTGTACTCCGAGATTTAAGGTTTGGCAAGCTTTTAGTCGTTACATTATACTCGGCTCCATTACCGAATGCGGTGTAAACAGACCATTAAAAAATCGTATAAAAAAATGTGAGACATTTAATTTTCGAAGTGTTATATTATTTCGGATCTATGTAAGTTGACAGATGAGATTTTAGAAGATAAATCACGGAATCATTCCATTACCTACACGGTAATGGAATTCTTAAGTCAAAGTGGTTTCCCACTGTTGTCGGCACTGTCAGATACTGCGAGAGCTTTTATAAATAATTAATAGAGAATTTAAAATAATCGACAGCTTCTCGACACCATCAATTTATAGAGCTATAACTGATAGAGTGAACTACGCAATGCGATTATTTAAGTTTATGCGAATATGGAGGCGAGACGAATAATTTTCATATAATTTTATTGATATTTCCGACAATTGATTACTGAAAATTAATTCTTCGTCGAGTCGATCGCGATTAACAATTTAAATAGTACATTAATAGTGTATGTATATTAATACACTAATTTTAATTTTTAATTAAAACAAATAATAAGTTGTAATAAAGTTGTGACATCATTCGAAAAAAAAAATAGTTATAAAAGCTGTATCCTTTTGACCAAATGATTACTTAATATAGTACATACATTTGCTTATTGTTATATTTTATTAAATAACTAAATTATACAATATAATTTGTTAGAAAACTCGCTAAGAAGACCGCTCGAATCAATGATCGTTTACAGACATTTGCACTTAATGACTTTTCTGCGTCGCGACACATCTTATTTCATTATTCATCATTAGCTCCTTGACAGGATGTAACCGCGTCCGCGTTTTACAGAACATTATAGCTTGGCTTAACGTTATTCAAATAGTTTTTTTAACCTCATTGTACCCAAATCCTCTTATTATTTTTACTGTAAAAATGTTTTGTGTTGCTTTAGAGTCCTAGGAGAATTTTTTTCTTTATTTGGCTTATAACCTTTTGATAAGTACTTGTTGTGATTTTCGTTGATATTTTATATGTCGTGTAAACAGGGTGTTCAATTTGACATAAAACACTTTATTATGTTGTAAATAAGTAATAAGAGCAAAAATATCGAATAAGAGCCCATCGGAAAAAAAACAAAATGTGGTATTTTTATTTTATTTTTCTGCGAATAGAATTAATATGTTCAGATATGTACCCACTAATGGATTTCGATATGTAGTTGCTGATTCATAGTCAACATAAACTATCAAAAGGGGGTCGACATTGCAATAGCGGATGTAGGTGGTAAAAATATTGTAATTTCATTTTTATTTTTTATTTTTCAGGTCCTATTTGATTAACCGTTGTCTTTGCGGGCAGTTGAACTCGCTTATACATACGAACAGGAAAACTCGACACCGGACTCATTACCGTAAACGCTTCGATGGAAACACAAATTGAACTGCACAACATAATAATATTGTAACGGTAATAATATCCAAACAAAGAAGCGTTTTCCAAGGATAGCGCAATTCGTTTACTCGGTTGACTTGTGTGTCAAAAACTTTTATATTAAGCGTTCCATGTACTTAGTTGTTTGTATACATATATGAAAGTAAATTTATTAAAAACTTAAAACTATATACATAATATTATATTCATTGTTTTACGTAAAATACATTGTTTGGAAATCTAAAAGTTGTCAATAAAATATTTTCGTACAAAAAAATGACATTTTTAAAAAATATATGTATATTTTTTGTGTTTTTTTTCTCTTAACAAATTCTTTAAGCAATTTAGACAGCAGGCGTATGAACACACATTTTCAACGATAATCATTAAAATTTGCGGTGAAGATTTTATCATTCAACTGTGTATGTATATTGGCACTTATTGCAGATAAAATAAGAAAATAATTCACGCAGGTATTACTCTCAACTATTAGCTTTTTAATATATTATACATTATACATGTACACGACCACACAGAATCGCCCTTAAAACCTCATTAATAACAAACTCGGATAATAATAATTAACGAATCACTATTTCTTTTATTAAAAAAAAAAAAATTAAATGAACGTGTTAATTTATACTATACATAATTTTGATATTATTCAGAAATGCATTAAACAAACTTTAATTTTCAGTTCATTACCTTTTAGGTACCGTGCCCATTCATTGGCACGAGTTAAAAGTGTGATAATAACGAGCAACATAAATATTCTTTTTTTTTATATCGCAACAATATGAATGTGTATTACACATTTTTTCAAAGTATTTTTGTCATTTGATTTTGATTCGTAAATATTTTTTGTTTATCAAAGGCATTGATTTTACAACAAATGAATTACTCTAGTGCTTAACAATAATAATATGTGGTAGGTACTTTGGAGGTAATATAAAAATAATGTTTATTATAATTAGCGCTATGAAAATAAATAAATTAGTTTTTTAAAATGTTTTAAACAAAATATGATATTTATGTATTTATAGATATGTTGTTGTCTGTTGGCAATAATATTTACTGGCAAACACGAATAGGTTTTGCTTCGTATTTTTCATTAGTCTGAAGGGTTTTGATGCAATTCAATGAAAATAATTTATTCGGGATTAATTGTATAATTGATTTATTCGGAAACGCTTGATGTGGCTTACATTGAAATATCTTCGCTGTATTTAATTAAAATAACTTAAGTTCTTGAGTCGAATAATAAATTCAAGACCATTCGAGATTCGAGACAGTTGCGCTTATGTAAAATTTGGTTTTATAAATTTAAATAAAAAAGAATCTATTATTATTACCATACTAAATTGGAATTAGTGAATTAAAAATAGTAATTATAGCATATACAATCCCAAAGAAAAATATATCTTTATACTTTTATGTTATGATTAGTAGGGCTTTTAAGTTAAGCATTTAAAACAAAGTTTTGATTTTTGTTTCTTCTTCTTTACATTTTTTTTCAGAGTAATTTCATTTGGTCTCTATTATATTTTAAGGTGAAAAATTGCATTTAAATAATGAACAACATTTTATAGTATTTCGACCAACTGTAGTTACAATATGTCATTTTTATATGTATATATATACTTTACTGACACATTTTGTTTAAAAAGATACTCAGCACCCTAAACCCATGATTTATGTTTTCAGCTATAAATGCTCCATTGATTTCTAGTGGTTGATAAAACGTAATCCCACGAACACAATATAAGCACTTTTTTCTTGTCATCAAAATTTCCCGAGACAAGCCTCAGTGGAATTTCGAAATCAGGAACCTTTAATCTGGCATCTTATTGGTGTTGTAGTGCTTTTGCGTCCTATAGGTATATCTAAATATATTCAGTGGAATTAAATTCCTAATGTCGAGTGTTATGCAAAGATAATTTTCATATTATCTAAATATGATATTGATAATTCTTTAAGAATTTATTTATAATTTCATTTTAAAAAAAATATCTAGGGAAAAAAAGCTTTTTTCTGAAAAATGTAAAACCTTAAATAAACATTTTTGTTTATTTATATTTTATTGGTATTTGTATATTATTATAATTTAATATAAATACGTTCTCGTTTACATTAGATATAAATAATATTAATTATTATAAAATGATAAATTTTATCTAGGTAAAATAAAAAGATAATAATTTGTACCTTGATAATGCATAACACTGGTAATAAATCTATCTAATAAACAAAACTTTGGGTTGGTCAGGTAAGGGAATTATTAGACTAGTTGATATATATCTAAGACCTAGTTCGAAACTTTATATTATAGTTTATCCACTGCACCACGCACGTTGAACACCATACACGAAAAGGACATTTGTAAATAATCAAAAACCCAGTGGGGATTGCAAAGGCAATGGCAATACATATACACTTTTACTATTTCATGTATGGCCAATAGCAAATGTACATTGGTTGAAATATGTGGTACGGTATATTTTAAAGGATGAGACCCGAATGCATTTTCTACCTTGGCGATAAACTAAAATGTAAATATAAGGCACTCGTAAGTCAAGAGGTTCATTTTTCATTTCCCTGTGTAGATTACATTCTACACCCCTTGGCGTTTGAGCAATATATTTTGTGTACATTGGTAGCACATACATAGTGTGTAGATAATATTTATTAAATAAACTAATAGCTTAACGAAAACACTAGGCGGGAATAACCCGTACCGTTATAAGTGTTTGAATAAAATAAACGTTATGCATATACAGCGAGCATTAACGGGCGTGGCAAGTATAACAATATGCCATTGTGTATATAAGCTGTCACGTGTCGCTAATTATATGCTTATAGTTTTGATATTTTAGTTTTCCCGAAACAAACGGAGTAGCTGTGAATGGCTGTGACAACCCCCTTTTCTACTTGGTACACTGTTGGAGTATAATTGCAACATGTATTTCCCGAAAGTTTCCTGGATCCTCATCACATTGTTTGGGTTGATGATAAAAGTTCATGCTTTCACTAACCGTACAGTGTATATCATATGTATTTTAATATTATTACTTTTAGTTTTCAACTTATGTTCATGGTATAAATTACTTGCGTATATCATATAGATTTAAAATTCTTATAAACGCCGTCTATGGTTGCTTCTCCGGTTAGACAAGAGTTTTTCAACTTTAACCATTTTGATAGACACGTCTGTGCACCGAACTAATGCGATGAGCGAAGTCACCTTTTTCCGTTTGTATAATGTTATAACACGGTACACTTTTGTCAGTTTATATGAACTCACGAATGAAACAATCATAACGATATTAAAAAAAAAAAATGTTATTATCCTTATTGTCTTGACCTATATTATCCTTTTAACAATAAATGTTTTTAGCGTATGAGTAAGCAAAAAAAAAAAAAAGTGTCCGATCACGATATTTCCAGATATTAAAATATGTCGATTTATCAAGCTTATCCGTAGTTCAAATAGCTGAAAACATAAGACAAATGTTAGTAATAATATTAGAGATGGACAAGATAAATTCAACTGATATAAGTATACGATTATTAGGCGACAAGAATGGCAATATAGTCAGCTGATAAGATAAAAAAAATTCATACTTCAACGTTTTTAGCGTTTGATAAAAGTAAGTAATGATTTTTCCAATTTTTCACATCTCCTTACTTTCCCATAGTCAGATTTAAAATGCTTTGACCCGTTATATTCTGCGCCATTGACTATCGCTTCCATACTTCTACTATTACTGATATGTTATTTCTTAGTTTTCTGTCTTGCCTTATTTTCTGCTTACTGTCATTGTATTGGAATATTATCGAGTTTCCGGAAAGTTGGCGAACGGCGGCAAAACTAATTCGGCGTTTCACCAGCACGGCGGACTTCCATCAGGTCCACAATAACGACTTCCGGCTCCGGGGAGAGATTCCATGAACGCTTAGGTATCGTGCCGGGTTTCCGGTCAACCGTGTAGCCGACGACCTCGTTCGCAAGATCGTTGGACCGTTGATTGAGCGTATAGAAGTCGACGAGGGAGAGAGGGTAAGGGTGGTTGTAGGATCGAAGAGCACTCGCCAAAGGGTAGTCGTTAAACGAAACCCATTCGGATTTGCGAGGAGGCATCTGCGATACGTGTAATTGCCGATTGCGGATAAAGGCGCACGAACACCGGATCGTCCTGATTGATTGTCAAGGCGCCGCCGCCGACTTCAATGACAAATCCTTCTCGATGGCGGAACCGACGATAATAGATTGGCCACTTAGCGACACGGCAAAGGGAGACGCGGACATAACGATAACAAAGGTATTGGGTATTCGGTCGGGTGAACGATTGTGAACAAGGTGTAACGTGGATACAGGGTGATCCGTTTAACGCAGGACTACGATTCTACTTTAAAAGAAGAATAGTTTGCTGAAAATGTTCACTGGTCGATAACCGCTTTCGAATAATTACATCGTTTTAAAGTTGGTAGAGTTTAAAGTGCACGACCAGAGTTGAGTGAAATATTATTTTAATCTGCGCGCGTTACTCGATCGCACTCCACCTCTGGTCCTAAAGTTTAAACTCCTTATTTTTCTAATTAATAAATTAAGTTAATTAAATGTATACGTTCCCGTTTAAGTTTCTAAAGTTGATAGAGCTCTAGAAAATACTAAAACAGGTTAATGTACATATTTGGTATGATATTGTACAAAAATGTTTTCAAAACGAAAAACTATAAAACTGAATTTATAAATGATTCACCCGGTATATAAGTCTAACCTGGATAGAGATTTACAGATCAAAGGATTCATTTCTTTTCCATTAGTACTGACTGACTCTTGCAAATCATATTATGGTTTTTTTCAACTTGCGTTCCAAATGCTTAATTGCGCATGAAAGTGCCCATGCAGCAAAAATATGTTTAAAAAATGTAATACTTTATAATAAGTTTTTTTTGCTGAATTCGAATTTGACCGAGTTTCTCTGGTACATCTAGTTGTTTATGAAATCGCCTGTAGAGTTATAAAAAACACCGATTTGTGTTGTTTTCAGCGTGTTTTGTACTTTTAAACAATTTTCTAAAAGTTTTTTTAATTTTATTAACATTGTTGGGTTGAGAACTAGCCTTAAAAGCAATATAGGACTTTATTTTAAAATACAATTTTAGATTCGTTAGGTTTTTATTAAGTCAGAGATGGTTTATTAAATTAC